CAACCGCCCTTATCAAGTCGTTGATGTAGATCTTGAAAAGAGTGGGTGACATCGTACAGCCCTGTGCGACTCCTTGGAGTATATCCACGTACTTCGAGATTTCCCCATCCAACATCACTGCACTTCTTGTGCATTCTGTCATCTTTTTCAACATCCTCCACATTTTCCCCCGGATCCCTATGTCCCACATCTTTTTCCACAATCCATTGCGCCAAACGGTGTCGTAGGCTTTTTGTACATCTAGGAAGAAACAGTATGTTGTACGCCCGGCGTCTTTCCTACCTTGGATAATTTTACTCAACGTATATACATGGTCTACACAACTACGATCTGGTCTAAATCCAGCTTGTCCTTCGCTGATCTTTTGTTTCCCCTCCAACATGTCTCCCATTCTATTGTTTATCATCTTGCCAAAGAGTTTCCCCACTGTGCTCAGCAAGGTTATCCCTCGATAATTCCCCGGGTCAGTTCTATTCCCCTTTTTGAACAGATTCACGACTACTCCTTCTCTCCATCGCTTCGGCGCGTACTCGTGTTTCCATATCCAGTTGAATATCCGGACCAACATGTGAATCATCCCTCCCTCCCCTGTTTCAAAAACTCATTCACAATTCCATCAGCCCCTGCCGCTTTTCTATTCTTGAGTTTCGCTACACAGTCCTCTACCTCTTCTCGTGTGAACTCTGCCTGCAACCCGCCTACATCACTACATTCCCTCCGAGATCTTTCAACGTTTTCCTCTGCCCACGAGTTGATTTCCTTCTCAAACTCCGAGTCGAAGTTGTCGTTGGTGGTGGGTGTCCCAAGTTTGCGGTAGTGCTCTACTAGTACTTCCTGCTTTCCTTTAGAACTGCTTACCATCTTACCCTCGGCAGATCGTAGTGTCGCTATTCCCGTGTCTCCCCCTCTTTTCTTGCCCACTATTCCTTGGATTCCTACCCACATTTGCTTCATCCCCCCCTCAAAATCTTCGTTAGTCTTTTGCACTACTCCCTCCCACAGCGCTTTCTTCTTCTTCATCACCAACTCCTTCACCCTCTTTCTATTTTCAATATACTCCTTCCATCCTGCTTCGGTTTTCCCTGCCGCATATTTTGCGTGTGACTCTCTACGTACTCGAATTGCTTGCTTGATTTCTTCGTCCCACCACTTCACTGCTCTCTTACAAACTATCAGCTTTCTACCGAGAACTCTACTTGCCGTTGTGTTTACCAGCTTTTCCCACCCTTCTATGATTCTAGATCCGGCCTGGTCCCGACCTGTGGCATCCTAGGGTGTGCCCATTGCCTCTATCAATTCCGAAGGGGGGGGGGGTACTACTAGATCACACATAGAGTCTCAAATGTTTCCTTCCACTCACTCGATCTGGTATTTGTCTCATATTGTTCCCGAACAAGTGGATAATTGATATCACACAATATTGCAAAATTCGACGTTTAACGTCAATGAGGGCAACGAAACGGCTGACTCGTTCCCGTGATAAAGCTACGGCAACCACCGCACTATGCATAGTAAGGTGGATTAAATACAAAAGCTCCTGTGTGGCGTGGCCTGCCTCCTGTATGACCCGGGCTGATGCGCCGAATAGTGCGAAAACGACGTCCGGAACAAGTGGGACGCCGATCGACACACTTTCACTGGTTCGAAACGCCGCGCGTCGTTGTTGTTCTTGCTCCCACAGCGTTCATGTCTTCCTGCCGAAAACGGCCCCTCGATGCCATGAATCTCTTTGTCGCGTCCGTCGGCGCTGGATAGATGTGACCAGTTGGATGAAAGCAACAATTGAAACCCACCCCCACGAAAGTGTTCTGTGCGTGCGAGCCAACCACCTTCCGTCATCCCGTGCACCGGCGACAGATGACCGGCGAGGTGGGGTCCTACAGGTACATGGCACCCGAACTCGTGAAGCACGAGCCGTACAACGTTAAGGTGGACATCTACAGCTGGGCTATCCTCAGCTGGGAGATTTTGGCCATCGAGAAGCCATACTCGGACATGAGCGAATATACTTTTATCAAGGTGCGCGTCGAGAACGGCCTTTTCACCAGACGGGCGATCAATCGTACCCGACGTTTCGTTTGGATGTGGAAGAAATGGAATATGCTAAGGGATACTGCTAGCACTATATCGAACGGCTCAATGGTTTTCGTGTTGGTACAAATTCTTCTAGTTTTCAGGTTTAATTTGTCGGGCAATCATATCTTCACCATTATGTATCTGTATTTTTAGTCCAACAGCAGCTGGATATATTGTTGATCGACGAGACCATGTAGGTTTCTTTTCAAACTCTGGTGTTAATCAATTTAAAAGACTTTTATCAATAAATGGTGTTTCCAGCTAGATCTTGACATTAGGTTTTGGTTGTATCCTCCATAAGGTTTTACTGGCAGATCGCGTGTTCCTGTTCAAGCAATCCATGGCGATGATCAGCCACAGGTGATTTCCGGTGTGTAATGCACTTTGTCGCCTCTCACCATCGACTCCCTCTCCCCGGCGTCCTTCGCTCCCTCCCAACCTTTGTTGATGTCTTGTTCTTCTTGTCGATGCACTTGTTAATACATTGCCAACGTAAACAACGATTCGGCAAGCAGAGGGTGGTCAAGGGCGGAGACCGTCCCGAGGTCCGCAGGAGCTGGCCCAACCAGCTTTGCACGCTACTCGCCTCCGCTTGGCACGCCGACCACGCCAAGAGACCGGTGGCGGCGGATATAGTCACAGCCCTCAAGATCATCTACGCGGAGCTCTCACCAAAGGACAGACGGAAGAAGCCCTCCTACGAGTCAACGTCGGCACTAAGTGGTAGGCGCGGTAGTCTCCGGAGGCGTGATAAAAGCAACCGCCGCCACTCCTGGTCGCAGCTATCGTCGAGGACTCCAGCGAGTGCCTTCAGCGGCACTCGACTTCCAAGCAGGAGCAACGAGACCGGAAACGGCAGAGGTTCTGCCACGCGCGACGACAGCGGCCGCCTCTTTGCTCCCTCTTCCTCCCGTCCCTCGCCCGGGTGTGTTTCGTCGTTGGATAGGAGTAACTCCTTGCCGCTGCCGCTTCATCCGACGTGCTCTCCCACCTTTGTCGCCCTGGCGAAGCGAAGGTGGCGATCAATCCGCAGGAAGAGTCATGGGCCCGGTCTATTCGAAGGCGTGGCTTCGGCGCCGCTCAACGGTGAGGCTTGGGGTTCGGCGCCGGGGGGGAAAGGCGGCCGAGGCAGCAGCGTGAAGGTGGCGACAGAGCGGGATTCGTCAGAGGGAACCAGATGGTCACGTCCGGCACCAGAATCGCTTCTCGTAGCCAGCGTCCTCAAATCAAAGGAGAGCGACGAAACCGGCAGCGAAGGCCAAGGCAGGGCTCCAGTGTGGACTACTACTGCCGTCGGTGTTGCGGATGACACTTCCACTTGTGGCGGTGGCGTTGGTGGAAGCTGCGGTGGGCATCGTTGCCCGCAGCACCAGGCGATCATTAGCAAGAGGGAAATCATCGCCGATGCACTCCGGCGAGAGACGGCGGGGTTGGTGTCGTCGGGGGCGGCAGATGCGCCGTCATGGTCGCAGCAGGTGTGCCAGAGCAGGACGACCGAAATCACAACAGCACCAAAGGTAGAGGTGGGAGAAGAAGCAAGGCACGACTGCCAGAGAAGGAGCGGCGGCGTCGGCGGCGACCACGAGCGCGAACCGGCTGCTGCAGCAAACCGAGCCAAAACAGCACATGGTGTCGGCGGCCAGTGGGTTCCAGAGGAGGAAAGGGTGCGGAGCGCGTCGGACGTGTCGCGCAGGGTGCGCCGCAATAGCAGCGTCAGTAAACTGTGGCCAACATCGGCTTCGACCAACGGCGGTGGCATTAAAGGCGCAAAACTTGTGGCGGCGGCGGTGGCTTCGGAATGAAACAACCAAAAGCTATTAATATGTGCTCTGGTACGTGTGTCTCTCACGTCCCTAGATCAATAAGTATGATTTCAAGAGCAACATGCACCTTGGTCAAGCTTCTTGGAGTGCGTGCCCAGGTTCCAATTGCTTTGGGCATGGTCGTGATCGCCTGTCGCGAGCGGTTCGAGTTGGGCGAACAGTCGAGACTCCTTTTCTACAACCAAGCCAAGTTGCTACCCTGTGTAACGCAACGTTTTCGCCCTTGTCACGAACCAGAGGGGCCCCACTATCTTTCTCCGGGATGACCTGCCTGAAAAACCAACCGCACTTGAAGGGGATACATATCCTCAACGACGATTTTCTGCGTCCCACGTTTCTGGCATCTTACCGAAGTCCTTTCGTGCTTTTATCTTGTGCAGGCTCGACAGACATGGAATGAACCGGCTAACCCAGAGAGAAAACCGGAGTGTGTGAGCGGCTTTGCCGACTCGGCGCGATGTGTTCATAGCTGTCGCTAAAGTTCGGTCCCGCTCCGTTGCAACCACAGCAGTTTTTGGATTGAGACCCATTTCGGATTGTGGCGGGAGTTTCCAAGTGTTTTCTTGGACCACTGCTTTTTTTGGTCCATGTGATACGTAGTCATCCCATTAAGACTCCTGTCGAGNTGTCTCTCACGTCCCTAGATCAATAAGTATGATTTCAAGAGCAACATGCACCCTGGTCGAGCTTCTTGGAGTGCGTGCCCAGGTTCCAATTGCTTTGGGTATGATCGTGATCGTCTGTCGCGAGCGGTTTAAGTTCGGCGAACAGTCGATGCTGTCCTTCTCTACAACCAAGCCAAGTTGCTACCTTGTGTAACACAACGTTTTCGGCCTTGTCACGAACCAGAGGAGCCCCACTATCTTTCTCCGGGATAACCTGCCTGAAAAACCAACCGCACTTGAAGGGGATACATGTCCTCAACGACGATTTTCTGCGTCCCACGTTTCTGGCAACTTACCTAAGTCCTTTCGTGCTTTTATCTTGTGCAGGCTCGACAGACATGGACTGAACCGGCCAACCCAGAGAGAAAACCGGAGTTTGTGAGCGGTTCCGCCGCCTCGGCGTGATGTGTTCATAGCTGTCGCTAAAGTTCGGTCCCGCTCCGTTGCAACTACAGCAGTTTTTGGATTGAGACCCATTTCGGATTGTGGCGGGAGTTTCCAAGTGTTTTCATGTTTACCGGTCAAGCCTCTCCCTTGCACGAGTATCACTAGTGTTGTATGGTTCGTTGTTGGCTCCATGCACATCCTGAACCTGCACGCGTGGCTGCTGCCATAGAGCAGCTGCTGCCTGTTGCTCTGTACGCAAGGAAGGGTCACAGCGGAGACCCTCCCCATATCCCGGCTTGACGAGTAGGAAGTACCGCACGGCACGCGATCGCACACGTTTTCTGTGACGTTTAGTCTGAGGGACAACATGAACGTGTTGGAGTTTGGTAGATCGTATACGCGCTCGTCTCCATGCAACTTTACAGGCATGCACCGCAGAGGGGTGGTGAGGGGGATAGGGAAGAGGCCGGTTTTCGCACGACCCGGGGTTACCAGTGTGGCTGGAGCAGAGAGGCCAGACTGTCGAACAGATCGAATAGTTTGAGTCATGACCAGTGCATCGGTACGGAGCTCATCGTTCTCGACACTGATTAGTCAGCACCACTTATGTTGTTGGGGGATGGGGGGGATGTGTGTACGATAGATTCCCACGTTCTTTTACGGCACCTTGACTTTTGCTGCATGTTGTCGAAGTAGAACAGCCCAGACATGGATGCGCGACGAGCTGCATGCGGTCGAACGGGCGAGAGACTGCCTTTGCTCAGCTACCCGAGAGAGGGAAAGCGGGCGGAGGGTGCCGATGTTTGAGAGGAAGAGAGGAGGAGATGTGGCACGTAGTACATCGCAATGGCGCACGGTTATTCTACGCGCTGTCTTTCTCCTGTGGCGAGCATCTTCGTGGTGTATTAGAAGTATATATTTACGGTGTACATTGCAGTGGGCTAGGATTGGTTATTGGTTTTGTTGAAACAGGTTTTGGAGTTTGACCGTGTATTGGCCTCCGTCATTCTCGTCCTCCTCGACGAGCATTGCTCGTGTTTGGTGTTTCGGGTGGATGTAAGTTAATGTGCGTTGTTTAGAGCTCGAGGAAATCACCATGGTTCGCCTTGGTTCAACAGGTGTTTTGATGAGCGTGATGATTCTCAGAGGGTATCTCACGTGTTTGTGTGTCTGTCGTAGTTGAAATAGAGCATGCAGGTTGTGGCCCGTATTGTCTTGATCTTGAATTCCACACCCATTCGTCTTGTATGTGATGAACCATCCAACCCCAGCGGTGAATGCACCTTGCTTTACAGTGCGAATATCTATTGTCCTTGCCGGTGATGGTTGATTCTCTTCGGTTTATTTTGTCGAGCATCGCTTGCCGAGCTGGAGCGATGTTCCATGTGGTGCTACATTTGTTTCGTATCTCCTTTGCCGATTTTGCGTATCACCAGCGACGTTAGACTGTTTGGGAGCTTTTCGCTCTTTTGTGGTTTCGTTCCGTTAAGACTCTAGTATTGCGTTTTTTCGTGATGGTGTTTGCTGTTTTAGGTTTCCGGTTCCGTGGGTAGTTGGCTTTTGACCACGGAAGGCGTAGGCGAAAGTTGGGCCGGTTGTAGTACACGTGTGACAAGATTCGGAGCAGACACTTGGTCGCATCCAACGGCCGAAAAAACACAAATTCTCTCCGTTCTAATCGACCTTGGCATCAACCCGGTGTCGAAATCGAAAAGGCGGTTCACTAAACAGAAGCGAATCTACAACATCACGACAATGCGAGGGGGATATTTCCCAGACGATCCCTTGGGTGCATTGATTGACTCCCACGCTGTTTCGCTTACATAAGTTCTGTGCGAAGGGAATAAAACAAAGCGACACCAGTTCAATGCGGTTTCATCATTTCCTTTAACCTGTCTGGTCTATCACCGCGCTAACGCATCGATGGTCGCACAGGTATGTATGCATCTCTCGTTGTGCCAACAGGATGGTGGCCGTCACAAGCGCGACGAGCATGATGACCAGTCAAAAGAAAACCAACAAACGAAACCCTCTCTCCCTCCAGGAGAGCGCGCCTACCCTATATGCGATCAATCACCGTTGTTTGGTCTCCCCCAATACGCAATGCGATCCCCTATCCCGAGTTTTCTCCGTTACAAATGACGTCAACCTTTGGCCCTCCCGCCCACGTTATTGGGTGTGCCGCTCCCCTAGCGCCATACGCAACCATTCCATAGGTAGGTATCGACCGCCTGAGTACCACCGTGAGCGCTCCTATGCTCGACACGATGGTACGATCGCGGAAAAACGTCATGAACCGCATACGGATAATGTGTATGGAGCCCTCAACGCATAGTCTAGTAGTCCAAGGCACATTCTCGTGTCTCCGTAGACTTATGATGTGTTTCAACAACACAATCAATCATACACGGGAAGAAAAAACTCAAAATCGTCGCCCAAGGAAAGGAGGTTTTCCAAATCTTCACGGTTCAGATGTGGAGAACATCTTCATAAAGGTTGAAACTCCTCAACGTCTGTCAAGGACGAAATCCTCTTTTTCCACAATGGCGTCGACGAAGAGATGTCAGGTTGTTGTTGTTGTTGTTTCTCACATTAGCTCTAAAAAAAAAAAAGATTGGGAGCCCGTGGTCTCAAAACCCGGCATACACGACCCCACGAAGAAACAGAAAAAAATAGGGTACAAAAACCACTCGGAAGAGAAACAAAATGATAGAAAGAAAGACCAGCTACCGCACCAAACGAGAAAGAGCGTCGAGGAGACCGATCAAAATAAAATAAAAGGAGAACGGGGAACGCTTCCCACACCCGCCTACAACTCCGGAGGGTTCCGTGCCGGGTTCCCGCCGAC